TGTTGTTTAGTGTGTATATGTTTATAATTGTTATATCTTCTTGATGAAGTGATCCTTTTATCAATAAAAATGCCCTTCTTTGTCTCTTGTAACAATTTTTCACTAAAAATCTCTTTTGCTTAGTATTATTTAGCCATCTCAGCTCTCTTTTGGCTACTATTTATTTGCGTTGAGTATCATTTTCCATCCTTTAACTTTCAACTTATTTGCATCTTTGGGTCTAAACTGAATCTCTTGTAAGCAGCATATAGTTAGATCATGTCTTTTATTAATCCATTTTGCCAATATCTGTCTTTTAATTGGTGAGTTTAACCCATTTACATTTAAAGTGATTACTGATCATGAAGAATTTTTATCCATCGTAGTGCTATTTGTTTTCTTTTCTTTTCTTTTTTTTTTATAATTTTATTTATTTATTTTTCCCCCACAGCCCCAGTAGACAGTTGTATGTCATAGTTGCACATCCTTCTAGTTGCTGTATGTGGGACGCAGCCTCAGTATGGCCGGAGAAGCGGTGTGTCGGTGTGCACCCGGGATCTGAACCCGGGCCGCCAGCAGCGGAGTGCGCGCACTTAACTGCTAAGCCATGGGGCCGGCCCGCTATTTGTTTTCTATATGTCATATATTTTTGTTGCTCAGTTCCTCCAATACTGCCTTCTTGTGTTTGATGGATTTTTTTTTTCTAGTGCAACATTTTGATTCCCTCTTCATTTCCTTTTCTGTATCTTTTCTTTATTTTCTTAGTGGTTACCATGAGGATTATAGTTAATATCCTAAATTTATAACAATCTAGTTTGATCACCTTTTTCTTTTCTTTTTTCTTTTCCTTTTAAATACACTATAGTTTTAGAGCGGTTTTAGGTTCAACAAAGTTGAGCAGAAAGTACAGAGAGTTTCCATATACTCTCTGTTCCCCCAGCCCCCTGCACACCTCTCTACACAGCCTCCCTTACCATCCTGCACCAGAGTGGTACATTTGTTACAACTGGCGAACCTACACTGATACATCATCACCCAAAACCCATGGTTTACATTAGGATCCACTCTTGATGTTGTACATTCTAAGGGTTTTGACAAATGTATAATGAAATGTATCCATCATTATTTTATCATACAGAGTCGTTTCACTGTCCTAAAAATCCTCTCTGCTTCACCTATTCATCCTTCCCTCCCCTCTAGCCCTTGGTGACCACTGATCTTGATCACCTCTTTTTAATAACTATAAAAGCTAACATTTATTAAGTGCTGATGTGAGCTCATGTTATACACTTTTCAACAGCTTTATGAATTTCCCATTTTAAAGAATAAGAATCAAGTTCAAAGAGGTTGTCAGTTATTGAAGGCCACTTAGCTACAAAGTCGCAGAGCCAGGATTCAAACCAAGATTGTCAGACTCCAGAGACTGAGCTTTTTATCATTCACTCTGCTGTCTTGATGAGGATGAGGATGATGGTGACAATGGTGGTGGCAGTGGTGGTGCTAATGGTAGTAGTGGTGGCATCTAACATTTATGGAAGCAGTGCTTACAATGTGCCAGGCACTGTGCCAAGTGCCTTATCAATTCAATCTTCAAACCAGCTCTATGAAGTAGGTATTATTATTACTGCCATTTTATAGATGAGCAAACTGAGGCTCAGAGAGGTTAAATAACAATCTTCCTCAAATGTGCAGAACCTACTGAGTAGAAGCTAGTGACTGTCATTAAAGACTTCATTTTGACCATCCACCATCTCTCTGTAGGGCCGGAGATGGCCAAGACATAGGACAAGGTCTTTCCCTGAAAACTGATTGGTCGGTTGGATTTTGGAAGTTCAAAAATCCAGAGACTTGGACTTGACATTATTTGACTCTTTGTTTTACAAGGACACATGAGGTCTGACAGCACTGATCTCAAGGGCAGCAAACTCTGCCCTTGGCTGTCCAGCCTTAGTTATTGTCTTTCTTGTCACAGGAGGACTGCCCCTAGGCTTCTGGGTACACAACTAGGGCCCAGAAATAGCCCCCTAATCGGCCTCATCAGCTTTGAAGGAGGCCACTGCAGGAGGGGCCTAAGTAGGCCAACACTTTAACCCAGTTACATGAGGGCAGCTGTAATCCGGGCTGATCATGTCTTGCTAAGCTCTCTGGTGGGGGGGTCGGGGAGAGAATGTCCAAAGACTGCTTCCTGTGCCCAAGTATCAATGGATCTCACTGCAGACACTCCTTCCCCTTCTGGAAGCACTTGGCCTAAAGGCTACAAGGGCCAAGCTTAATTAGAGGGGCTGTCAGGACTGAGGGAAGGTTGGTGGCAATTTCCAACTGTAGTGAAACGTCCATGGCTTAGGCTACCCTAGGCCAAGACGCTGCTTTTCCTTGAAAGGCCCACTGCCTAACTAACTCTGCTTCCATCTTGTAGGAGAAGGTGAGAAATCATTGTCTTCCTCTGTGTGGGCTAGATAGCCACTCACATCAACCCAGGGAGTTTAGGACAGGCTGGGCTCCTTCCCCCGTCCTCCTCCCAGCTCACCTCTGGCAATGACTAGCCCTGGGAGTTCCCCAGGGAAGCTGGCTGAGCTGTCTGGCCAGGCTGTGGTTGGGAAATAAAGAAAGCAGAGCTGTTGGGGATGGCTGGCCTGGCTTGTCTGGCTCCCTCCCCGACTCTCTTTCTGACTTCTTCCTTCCCTCCCTTCCTCCCTCCCTATCAATTGGCATGGTGGGTTACCTTATGCAGGTACAATCTGCCTCCTTCCTCTCATGTCTCACAGACCATCTGCCCTGGGAGACAGCTCAAGAAAGTGGGTCCCCCTGTGGTCAGGAAGCAGAAAGCTTGCCTGGCCTGGGGGGATGCCGGCAAGGAAGAAAGAGGAGAGGGAGTGTTAGAATGAGACTATATGCTACAAGTTTGTTTATAAGTTTTTCCAAAGGGTTTTCTCTACCAGGAGGGTGATTCTAATGGGGAAGAGGAAGAGGAATCCAAGTTAACAATTATGGCATTTCAGCAACTCTAAGACACCTCAGATTGTAAGATGTCCACTGTTTTATGCACCCCCGAAAAAGAAAAAGAAGTTGCTGATTAAACTGTCATGCCATTGATTGTAAGATGCATCCCAAATTTAGAGATGTTAAAATGTAAAAAAAAAAAGTGTCTTAGAGTCAGTGAAATACAGAAAAATTCCTTAAAACTGAAGTACCACATCTCCTATACACTCCACAGACCCCAACCACACAGGGCACATGGGTGAGTGTAGTCAAAACCCCAACTAACCTCTGTGCTCTGGGAACAAGCATAGGAAGCACACCGTCTGGAAATAGGGCCCCTTACATTAGACAGGACGTTAGTTTATGAAGCCCTCTCACACCCATTTATCTCATTGGATGTCTCACAGCTGCCCTGGAGTTCAGAGAGGTATGACTTTGCCAAGGGCACCTGGGACCTCAGAGGGGACAGAGAACTGGGAATGCAGGCCCCATCTGCTGAGTCCTACCGAATGCTTTCTCAACAACTACTGGACAACCTCCATCTAGGAGAGGGTGAAGACAGAACTAGTGAGGATGATATAAATAAGTGGTTTTTAAACCTTTTCCCAGTGAAATTATTTACAGAACCTCAATGTACAAAACAGAATAAAACTGGAGTTGTTCTGGGTGAAGGGGAAAGGCCAGAACCCCACCCACTCTGCCCCCCTCCATCCCTCATCCTGAGGTGGCCCCTAAGGCACCTCCTCATACTCCTTGAAGCTCTGAGGAATAATTTCCAAACCTCTGGAGTAAGGGGGCTTCAGTGCTATTGGTAACGTTCTTTTTCTTAAGCTGGGTTTAGACATACATTATTCTTCACACCTTTTCGTATGTCTTAAAAATTTCATTTAGAAAAGGCACTGGTGTAGATGGTCAGGTCAGAGATGATTCACAACCTGGAAATTTAAAGTAAAAACAAAACAAAACAAAACAAAAAGTTTGCTTTGAATTATGAGCTGGGGTGAGACCCGGGCACTGAGGAGTGTTTTCAAGCTCTCCAGGTGATTCTAATATGCAGGAAAATTTACGAGCCCCTGTGTTAGCGGTATCTTGTCAGCTCCAACATTCTGGAAATCTGAGGGTATGTCCTGGAGTGCACAGGAAGGCCCCTCCATTCTCAGGGGGCAGATTACTAGGGATCCTAGGGTCTTTTTAAAAATGTAATAAAATAGCATAGGGTGTGCGGTTCCTGGGGACTAGGGAAGGAGCAGCTGAAGGGACAGCAAAAGCAGGCAGCCCCTCTGCAGGCCCCTTAGATGGAGAGGAGAGAGGCAGAAGAGACCAGGGAGAACTGGTGGCCAGAGCAGTGGTGCAGCTGGGGATGGGTCGTTGGAAAGGCGAATACCTATGCAGCTCACGCTGTTGGCCCTGTCCCATGTCAGAGCTTTGTCAAGCAAGCAGCCACCCTCGTTGCTAAGACCTACCTCATTGTGAGACAGCGGGGCTACTGGCTGGCTGAGATGCAGGAGGAGCTGCACTGAAGTTAGGAAGCCAGCTGTAGAGGGCAAAGCCCTGCAGGTTATCCATTAGCAACAGGAACAGCCTTCCCTACCACCTCCCTGGGAGGCACTTAAATCTCTTTGCCAAGTAGCTCAGACATCCCAGATGTGCAGTCTAGATGCTGGGCAAATGCCGACTGGGAGAGGGGCGGGTACAGGCAGTAACAGAGTCCTTGACTTTGGACTAGGCCAGCCCTGCCTGTTGCCAAGGTTAGCAAAGCACATATCCTTTGAATAAGCCATTGCATTTGTCGGACTGACATCTATGTATCTCTGTTTCTCCACTGGCCTTGGCAAACCAGGACAAGGGAAAAACTCACTGAGGGGTCAAGTTGTAACCATCCCAAGCTGCTCCCTATCCTTCAGAGGTGCAGGTGACACATTCCATGGGCTGGTGGGGCTTTTGCCATGCAAACACCAACTCAGACCGTGTGCCCCGGGAAATGGAGAGGTGACCTTGGTGGCGATGAACAGCTACCAAGGACATGGAGAAGCAGTTGGACACCTTGCCCACCCCTGCCCAGAGGTCTGGGGAAGGGTCAGGTAGCACAGACACTGTTGTCTCATCTCTTTTCCCTCACAACACTGCCTCCTCATCCAGGATCCCAACTACAGAGAGCCCTGCAGAGAAGCAGCACGGGCCCCTCGCAAGGAGGCCCACAGGCTGGAGCTTGGGGTACCCGGGAAAACAGAGGCACCCAGCCCCACCCGGGGGGACTCACAGGATGGTGATAGCTTACATGGCCAATGGTTCTCCCTCCAGTAACCATGGTGCCTCCCCCCATTTTACAGCCCTCCAGGATAAGATCATTGTTCACTGAGCACCTTCTATGGAACAAGCCCTGTGCCAGGGCCTGGAGGAAGGATCAGACCCCCACCCTGCCCTCAAGGAGCTCAACATCTACAGAGGGAGAGAGAGCCATAATGCGTTACATAATAGGGGGCAGATGGCGGCCCAGAGGTGAGTACCAGGTGTTGTAGGAGCCAAGTGGAGAGGTACCTAAAGCAGACTGGGGCTCAGGGAAGACTGCGCACAGGAGCTGACCCGAGCTGAGGCCTTCGGATGAGAAGAGCGAGTGGGGAGCTGAGAACACAGTGCCAAGAAAACAAGACAAAGATGTGGGAAATGGCATAGCATGAATAAGTGGAGTACGATACAGCTCGACCAAAGGGTCTCTCCCTGTGTATGGCTCTTAGGGGGCATGGGAGTGAGGAGATGAAGCTAAAGATGTTTAGGGGGCCCAGGGAAGCGAAGCAGTCAGCTATGCGTTTTCAAGACTGTTGCCTGCAGTAGGGGGCACAGGCTGAGCTGGCAGGGGCAGATATCCCGGCCCAGGGGAGAGGAGGCCAAGGCCTAGGTCACAGGTGTTGAGCTCTTCCTAAAAAGGGAGACACATAGAAAGGCCATGGGGCCAACTTTCCTCACCTCCCTCCAGCACCCTCTTTCCATCCTTCCCCCCGGGCCAGCGTCCCTTGCGTCCCCGCCTCCTTTCCTCCTATGCTTTCAGCTCTGCTCTGAGGCTCGCCAGCAGCAGAAGACAAGACGGGCTTGCTTGATTCCTCTACTTCTCACAGCTGTGGGTCTCAACTTCCTCTCTCTTGCCTTCCGCATCACTGCCCGGCTCTCCCCCCATTTCTCCCAGACCGGCAGTGGAGTCCAGGGGAGAGGGACAAGACTGGCTCCACCCCCCAGCTCCCCCGTTCATTCGCTCTGAGCCTCAGTTTTCTCAGTTTCTGCCTGTCAGATGGGGATGGCATCGCCAGTCAGCTCTCTGCACGTTTGTGGGGATTCCGGGAGCTGACCCGTGTGGAGGGATTTAGCAGTGTGCCTGGAACACGGCTGTAGCTATCGTTTTGCAGATGCAGAACCTGGGGCGGCAAGAGAACAAATGGCTTGCCCAGGCTTTGGTTGTGCAGCCCAGAATCGTGGGGCCCAATCTCATCGATAGCCTGTGTGCCCAACTACAGGCCAATGAGGAGATGTACCTGCACTGGGAGCCGCTTTGGCTATCTGTGTCCCTTCCACAAGCAGCAGCACCAGCAAAACGCCACGTAGGGCCTCTGTCTGGCAGAAAGGCAGGCCAGGCCAATCACAGTCACCATGGCTGCTCAACAGGGAGCCTTGGACAGGCAGGTCTGACTGTTATCTTGTTCACTCTCCCCATGGGACGGTCTGAACTGTGCTGGGCACAGGCCTGTGAACATTGCTGGCACAGAGCCAGCCCTCAGGAAACTTGGGATGAGTGGGCCTGAACACATCTGGTTTCCAAGTTGCCTTCTCTGTCCCCGGCAGCCCTGGTGGAAGCAGGCAGTGCATGGGAACTCAAGGCCACACAGCCAGCCGCACGACTCCCAGGGCAAAGCTGTGCTGAGCGTGCCAGCTGCCCTTTGGTGACCCTCGACGGTGTGGAGGACCAACGGCCCCTTTTGTCTACTTTTCAAAGCAGAAGGCCTTCTGAGAGGGTTTTGGGAAGCAAGGCCAAGACTCCTGGGTTCTCATAAATCTTTTAATAACAGTAAATGAAGAAAACATTTTAACAGTAAGTCCCATGGTGAGGGTTCCTTTTCATTCAGGGATTTCCAACAACAGAAACACCTATGACTAAAATTCAGAATGCTAAGTACACAAATTATTGACAGTTTATTTCCAAAGGTAACTGCAGAAATCATTTCAGTACAATCAAAAGGTTTTACAAAACAGAGAAAACATGTTACAAAATGCTCCAAGAAATGAGCAAACTGGTAGGGGCACAGAGCACCCAAGAACCAGCTTGGCAAAAACACCCACCCCGCTGCTGTTTAGGGGGATTACAAAGGCTGGTTCTAAAGGGAGCCACCGTTGCGGGGGGCTGACAGGGAGGGTCTGCCCAGTGCATAGCAACCCCACCTTGGGAATGAGGAAGGATGTGGGGTGGGGGAAAGAGGGACAAAGGCATTTGTCGATTTCCTGACAGAAGTAATTACAGATGAGACTATCTTATTCTCTCCACCATAATAACACCACTATAAATGAAGAATTCTTTAAAATATAATACAAAACTGACACCGAAAGAAAGCAAGTTTCCAAAACAACAGCTTTGTTTGAAATGACTTGTTTTGTTTGTTTCGTGCCACAAGTGGCAAACCAGTGTACAAAAATGTCACAGACAAGAGCAACAACAAGCGACTGGGTTTTCCTGATCACGAATTGGCTCACTCTATATACAGAAGAGGAAGGCTCACTCCCTCTCGGGGACTCTGCCCACCTCTGAGGGGGCAGGCCAGGGCAGGGCGTGCAGTGGGAGGCCCCGTCCCAGTCTGGGGCCCTGCCAAGGAGTGTGCGAAGGACTGCGGACACCCTCCCTTATGCCTGCTCCTGATTCATCAAAACCAGCCCCAGCGTCTTGTCCTGCAGTGTCACGCATGGCTCTTCTTTCTCCTCCCCCACCTCCCTTTCAGTCTTCTGAAGAGGACAGATGACTCTGGATCAACGTCTACAAATCCAGAGAAGTCTTTCTGGCCAAGCGAGGGGGAGGAAGAGCCTTCTGCCAGCCAGAGCTGCCCACCTCACTCCCAGGGTGCTGCCCAGGCCCAACACCAGTGCACGGAGGCCTGCTGACAACTCGCTATCTGTGAGGAGCTGTGCCCGCTCCACGAAACACTGAATTCTCAACGAGCACAAATAGCAAAACCCTGATGGAGGCTGCGGCAAAAGGGATGATCTGATAGCTAGACTTGAGGTACTGGACGGTTAAGTGCGCCGAGCACTCCCCTTATCCCAACCACCCTGCAAGCAGCTTCTGTGAATGCTAACAAGTTCGAGGAGAAAGAGAATATTGTCTTGGGGAGACTGAGTCCGTGGCTTCCTCGCAAGCTGATAGAGGAACACGTCACAGGGCCTCCAGGAAAAAGATGGGCCAGATCATCTTTGGTGTACAGAACCAAACACTGGGGGCAGAGAGGCATTGCAAGCAGGCATGACCATCTCTCTACAAGTTGGCCAGCTGAACAGACTATTCTCATTGGCCCAGATCCTCGGCCAAGGCTACCCGGGGACTTGAGGGAACACTCCTTTCCCTTCCTCAAGCTGTTTTAAAAGAAACTGTCCACTTCTACAAACACTCTCTCAGACACACACTGAGCTCCCACATGCTGGCAAATGGCATATGGAAACTTGGCCAAGGTGGTTGGGGAACCTCAGTGGCACTGACAGGAAAGCCCTGGGGGAGGAGCTGGTAAGCCTGGGCCTACTGGTACAGGGGCCACCCTCCAAGGCAGGCTGCTGTGGGTCTGGCCAGGTCACCTCTCTACATGGGCTTGGCCCAAGGTAAGAGTGAGGTACAGACCACTTCAGATGCCTGCTGCTCCCCAATACCTCAAACACAGGCCATGACTCCCCATAGATCCTGGGGACTGGGCTCACTCTGTTCCTTCCACCAATGTTTCTGAGCCAACTTGGCCCCCAGAAACCCTGCATCCCCCCTCACTTCCCCCTTCCCCTGACAGGTGCATCTGTCTCTGGCCTGCCCAGGGCCAGGCACATGGCTTTCACTTTCTTCTTTCCTTCCAAGCAGCAGAAAGTGCCAGCCAGAATGGGACGCTGAGCTGTTGCCAGGGCAAAGGCAAGCTTTTAGAGGCATGCCAATGTGAGGAAAACTTGGGCCGACTGGCAATGGCCATGCCACAGAGACAGGGAGGAAGAGAGAGCCTGCGAAGTCACTGTGTCACTGTGTCACTCCAAAGCTGAGCATCTGCCCCACCCAGGCTGCTGGCCCCCAGCTGAGGTACGGATCATCTGCCTACAGAGACTCCATATTCTGGCAGGGGACAGGACAGGCCCCCAGGGGCTCCTCTCATGACCTCCTTCCAACCTTTCCTTTTGTAAAGAGGACAAGGGGCATTGAGGCCTCATATTTCCTCATCAGCCATTCCTACACGCAGCAGCATGATGGTGGGCAGGGCGAATCCAGCCACTCAAGAGGTGCCTCTTCTGGAAGGCAACCCTAGGGTGAGAGGCACTAAGAAAAACTTGGCCAAGCTCTCAAAGAGGGCAGACAATGAAGGTTACATGCCGCGAGGAGCTCATGAGAAGTAAGAGCACTCGGTGTTCTCCCTCTTGCTCCCCCATGCCCTGGGGATTTATCACCTCATTGCCAACAGGCCTCTGCAAAAGGGCTCTCATGCTGGCTTCCCTGGGCGTCACCTTGCTCTGACAGACTCTCCTGCATTCTGCTGCTTCCTGTATGTCCATTTGCTAAAATCGTGACCACTGAGGCACTGAAGCTCGATCTAGGTCTAATACAGTAAAACCTGAAATACTGGAACTGGCACAGGGCAACTGGGTTGCCTAGAGTGGGAGAGGGGAGGCCCATCTCAGGAAGTCACTGAACCATCTTTTCTGTTCTTAAGCAAATCTGTTTTTACTAAGAGCCAACAAGGAGTCAGCAAATGCTCAGCCACTGCTTCCCTTTTTGAGGTCCATGCATGAGTGAGCTCAAGTCTTTCAACAAAAGGTCTTCCTTTTGGAGCACTTGAACCTCCACCCATGGGGACCTGATTCCTTGGTACCTCCCTTTCAAACTAGACATGGGCTTTGTGGGTGGGCAGGGCAGAGAGCCTGTGATGCCCCCCACACTAAACAAGTAAGCATTGAGTCCGGCTGCACTAATGACATCTGGCCCTAGGGAAACAACACTGGAAGGATCTGTATCTTCCCAAACCCAGGATGCTGACATATCCTGGAAACCCACAAAATGGATTGACAGAAGCCCCTCCAGAGACATGACCTGATGCAAGGATTCTCCAAACTCAAAAACAAATGAGCAAACAAACAAAAACCAAAAAGCAAAAAACCCAACTCCAGCTCATCTTTCCCTGAAGCTGCCTTTAAAAAAGAGAGAGAGAGAGAACATCTAAGGGGCACTCAAGATTAAAATGGCATCTATTATCAACATTAAACTCAAATGGAGCATATGATTCAAATCACAGTTTTCAAGTTACCACTTCTGTTGATTAATTTCTATGCTCACTTCTGATTGGGATATGGGTCCATTCTCAGCTCTCATAGGCAGAATCTACCCAGGGTCCTGCCTAGTATTAGTTGTGGGCATTTGAACCTTGTTCACTTTGGAATTGCCACTGCAACAGCTCTCCATCCCCTCATTGGAATCTAGCCCTAGGGCCGGGTAGTGTCCCCACCTCCCACCGCAGGCAGCATCCTGGAGGGAGTGGCTGGTTGGCTGCTTGCTTTGAGTCATGGGACACCAGTGGGAAGAATCTGGCCAGTTCTATTTTGGCCATGAGCTGGGAAATCCCTTGGCTCTAGGCTTGCCGCTGGTATAGAAACAAGGCCTCAGTCCCCTTACAGTGGGGGCTGTGCTGGAGACAAGAGGGGACCTAGCAATCAGCCTGGAGGTCCCTGGCAGTAGAGAAATGAAACACAACCCAATCTCAACACTTCGATGCCAAAAGAACTACTGCTTGTTGTTCCCTTTCTCCTCAACCAGCTGTTGTTAAAGCACCAACAAGCAGAGTGAAAGCCACTGACTACCATCTCCCCATGTAAGGCCACTAGGAGCAGGGAGAAGGAGCCAAAGGGGAGGAGGAAGAATCCAGCCCTCAGCACTACACCCCAGGCTCCAAGAGACATCCTGGTGGGAAGAGCTGGGGAAGGAAGAGTGGTGGAAGAAAGGGACAGAGAAGAGGAAAAATGAAATACATCAAACATCCTATTGCCCTCTCCCATGATTTCATCAAGAACTGGGTGTTCTCCAAGTCAAGTCAGGACTTGTTTCCTCAGGGAGAAAAAAAAAAAAAAAAAACACAAGCACCTTCAGTCTATTTTCTTGGCTGGAAGCCGGAGCAAATCCAGCAGATATTTACACAAGGGCCCAGCCATGTATGAGAACAGGATGACCAGCTTCCCGTGGGTCATAGTCATGAGAGTCTGGTGTCCCGAGGCCCAGATGCGATACCAGGGGCCGTAGAATGGGTCTGAGATGGCCGGACACAGCATGTTGTTCAAATTCACTTCGGTGACCTGCAGGGACAAGGGAGGTAGAGTGAGCGTTTGCCATTCTTAGGCTTTCTCTGGCTTCTGCCAGTTCAGCCATCTCTACCTAATGGGGGACTAGACAAGGAGGGATTGACAAATCCCCACCTGTTCATAATGAGATTTCTCTCCCCTAGGTTTTCTGAGTGGGTCAAGGCTAGAGCCCTGTGGAGGTGATGGAGGAGGCCATCCTGTGGAAAAGCTGTTTGGTTTTGCTCAGTCTTGCCTTCTGGTTGGGCCCAGAGCCCATTGCCATTCCTAAGCATCTATTATGTGTCTAGTCCTCAGAGAAGTGTTATGGGATAAAAGAGCAGTCAATGGCATGGTCCCTGCCTCCACGTAACTGGCAACAGATCAAGTTGGGGTGATCAGTCTACCACATCTGACCTCAAACAAGATGGTACTCACTGGGTTTTCCCCACCATGAGATCTGAGGAGCGTACAGAATAAGGGCTGAGTCCTCAGAGATTTCATGAGGGAAGTGGCACCTGAATGGACTCATGAGGGATGGATGGGGGTCATGGTGAGGAATGGAGTGAGCAAAGCCTGCCTTGTAGGAGGCTTGGCTTAAGCCAGGCCCGGAGGTGGGACTGAGCATGGTATGTATGGTGACATGAGGACACTGACTCCTCTGGAATCAAGGAGTCCCAGTGGAGAGCAGTGAGAATAGGGGTATGATCATCATACTGCTTCCTCCCTAGAGTGCAGGAAGCATTCACGCCTTGGCAAGGAGCTCACACTACCCCCCAGGCAAACCAGAGCAGAGCAAAACACCAGGGTGGGAGAGACAAAGTAACTGCTTCTACAAAGGCACTGGTGACATCGGTTACATGCCCTAGTCCTGCTAGGTCCTGCAAGGCTCCACATGGCTAATGCTACATTAATGCCGCTCGCACACAAAACCAGACGTGCCACTCCTGCCCTGAGGACGGCCACGGCACCTGCCTTCCAAAGCCCTTCAAGCCCATTCACGTTAAAAACAAGTCCTCACCACCTCTCAGGGAGGTTGGGGGTTTTGTACCATGTCACAGAAGGGTGGGGAGCTCTCTGCCCTTGAGGATAAGGTGACTCACCCAGAGCAGTGGCAGAGCCAGGACTTGAACTTGGGTCTCCTGACCCCCAGCCCCAGCCCCAAGCTCTTCCTACTCACTTTGCCACCAATAGACATCCATGCACTCAGCAATCGTGGGCTCTGGATAACTCAACTACTGAGTCCAGCCATCATCCATGTTCCAGACAGGTCAGAACACCCCAGAATGCCACGGGGGTCCCCCGACACCGCACTTCCACTGGCCACAGAGCTCAGGGCCTGGGAGTAGGCCCAGGATGGACCCAAGGTCAGAAGCCTCCCCCAGGCCCAGGGCCAGGGATAGGGTCCTGCCTCCTCATGAGGTCCATAGTGAACCATCTTCCAGTTGCAGCTCACCATTTCCAACCCAAGTGGCCATGAGTGAAGGGCATCCTTGCCTCCCCAGGGATGAAAGAAACAGTCATTACTGAAGGATTCAAAAAACCCTTTGAAGAGGCCAAGGCTGTGTATCATAAATCAGCAACGCAGACACAACAATCTGACGTCCTGGCCTTTGGCATCTTGTATTTTCAAAACAAAACGATATACCAGCGCCAACCAGGATTATCAAGATTTATGGAGAACTCCAAACAGAAGGGGTAGAAGGGGATAGAACCAAACTTACCAGGCCCAGGATCTGCAAGATGCTGAAGTGATAAAAGAACATGAGGCCAGTTGAGAGAAGGGCCCACTGGAAACTGCTGAGGGGCTCTGGGGTGTAAGCACCTGGAGGAAAAGGGGAGATAGTGAGACAGGAAGGTTGGTGACCCACTTCTCCTTCTTTGCCCCATGAGGATACAGGTGGTGAGGCCACAGCTGCCGCTTGCTGATTACCCTCTTTTGCTGGGTACTCCAATCAGCCCCTTCCCAGCCTCTGTTCTGCCACATGATGCTAGGGACATTACAAAGAGGATTTTTTATTTATTTATAAAAGTAATACATGCTTATTAAAGGAAATTTAGAAAATGTTTAAAAGTAGAAACAAGATGGAGGAAAAGAGGAAAAACATCCCCAGCACTTCACTACCCGAATACAACCACGGCTAACTCATGCGTGTGTCTCCTTGGTTGTTTTCTCTATGCCTTAGAAGTTTCTTTCCTTTCCTTTCCTTTTTAATTACTAATGGGAATCTCCTGGTATATATAATTGTATATCCTTCATTTCCACATTTATTTTAATCATTCCCTCATGTTTCTAAAGAGAAATGTCATGAGGAAGTAAGGCGTGGTGGTTGAGAATGTTAACTGTGATGTCAGACCGATTTGGTTTCAAATCTGGATTCTACCAGCTACTGGCTTTGTGACGTTGGAAAAGTTGTTTAAACTCCCTGAATCTCAGTTTATTTTTCTGTAAAACGGGGATAATAGTCCTACCTACTTCTTAGAGTTGCTGTGAGGAGTAAAGGAAATAATATATTGAGAGGTCTTACTACGGGATCTGGTACAACTTAAGTGTTCAGTGTGTGTTAGATGCTATCATTGCCAGATTATTATCATTCAAATAACTAAAGAATATGCTATATCCAATAGTTGTGCCATTTCCCAACTGTTAGACAACTCCCTCCCCCTGGAACTGCAAGAATAATATATTTTCCCTCTATCGTCACTAGGAACTACCATCCCAGTAGACTTGGATGTATTCCAGAGCTTGCAGAGTGGGGTATGGCTTATAGGATGTTGTGGGTGTCACTCTGAATGGGGACTTAGAGGGGGGTGCTCTAGAATGAAAGGAACTTGGAACCCTCCACCTCAAGCAAGTAGGTGGCAACATTACATCTTGGAGTAGTACATTCCCAAGTCAGTCTTTCACTGATTCATCCATTCATTCACCAGTTATTAGGCACCTATTATATTCCAAGCCTTGGGCCAAGCTTTGGGGATAGGAAGATAAAGAAGACAGGCCCCCTGCAGTCTCGGACTCACAGTCTGGTGGGGGAGGCAGACAAGCAAGGCAGCAATTAGAGCCCACTATGATGGGTGTGATGACTGAGGTCTGTGCCACATATTATGGGCGGACAGAACTCAGCTTGGCGGGGAAGGTGTGGGAACAAAGACTGCTTCTTGGTGAAGGGGACACAGAGCAGAAGCCTGAAGGACAAATGGAACTTAAGGACGGGCCTAGGCATTCCAGAGCAGCAGCCTACATTAAGGCAGACATGAATGAGAGCAAGGCAATTCAGAGAACTACGGGTAAGAGTTGGGGCTGCAGGGGAGAATGTGATGGGTAGTGAGCAGGAGTAAGACTCAGAGGTTGGCGGAGGCGGAGTCAAGATGGCGGCGTAAGCAGACTCGGAACTCACCTCCTCCCGTGGACACAGCCAATTTACAACTACTTGTGGAAAAATTATCCCTGAGACAGAACTGAAAACTGCATAAGAGGAACTCCTGCAACAACG